AAGTCATCAATTCTAATTTCATAGTTTGAATTCTGTGTACCAAACGGGTCTTATTATTCTCCATTTCTTGGTTGCCTAGTTACCGACGAACCCTCCCTGTTACCCATGTTTGTCACTAACAATTATATCAAATTTTAGATCTCTTCAAACATTTTAAGTTAAGATTCTACTCCTAGAACTTACATCACGATTCTCATGAAATTAAGAATCAATGTCATGAGATGATTCGGGTTTCTGCGATACTCCGTTTGAAAAATTGATGGTCCTTACAAATCAGATTAGAAATAAATTTAAATATAACTACTTTCAGATCATACTATAGATTAAATCAAATCAAAACTTATTTCAATAAAATCAGAACCATTCAAGTCAGGTAAAAAGAACATGACCTTATTAGATCTTTGGTATTTGGCACATGATTGTCTCCAATGGGTTAAATACATTTTTAATTGGAAGCAAGACGCCCCCCTTCACACTAAAAAGTAAAGAGTATAACTTAGGAGACTTATGGTGGTATTAGCAAAGATTAGAGATTAAACACCAATTATTTAAGGGGGGTGTTTTTTAGTTCCATTTAGTCAAGAAGTACTTTTTTAACAACTAATAATGTTCAATGAACAACCTTTTCAAGATAATTTTTCTCCAAAAAGATGATTTACAAAACTTTTTTTTCAAACTTTTTTGAGACAACCATTTCAATTCACTACCTTTTACTTTTAAAATTTCAAACAAACACAAACAATTTATATTTTCAATGATTTTTTAAAAACCATTTATCACAAATAGCTGAAATAAACATACTACGGAGTAACAATTAACAAATGTGTAGAAGCCCTTGAAGTTGGAAAATGTTACATATACATCACACTTACACTACATCTCAAAATTTGAATTACAGAGATAAGTCTTCTTTTGTTATTCACACATTATTTGTATAGCAAAAAATATATATTAGTGTCAATCAAAATTATAAGTTTAGTGTTTTGTGTTCTATTATTTCATTCATTCATTACAAAAAAGTTCTTGTTGGAAAAAATGGATTTACACTTAAAAAAATTGAATATAACTTGTTCTAAACCAAATTCATAGAACAAACAGGACTGGTTTATATATGTCAAAATTTGGATGTAATTTAAGTGTGATGTAAATGTAGAGAATATTTAACCAAAGACAACACAAATAATACATTTAAAGTTTTAAAGACTTCACTAAAACAAAGTTAATAATACACTCTTTATGTACAGCCCTACATATATCTACCAACATCCCAATCTCTCTCCATGCCACAAAAACACACAAATTACATCTTCATGAACAATGCAAGAGTACAAAAAAATGAAGAACAAAAAAGCACCTACTAAAGCTTTGGACAATGGGGAAAGACAATACCCTTCCTTCTTCTCATAGACATTCACAGAGCATAGATCTTCTCGTCGGAGTTATAGTCGTCTAAATCGGAGAAGTTGAAGGAGAAGGACAAGGAGAAAGATTTGCTGCCGCTGCCGCGTCTGATCCGCCTCTGGGAGTCCCCGCCGCCAAAGTGGGGCCGGAGGATGACGTAGCACAAGCCGATCAACGTCCCAATGAGGATGGGCCCGCCGAGGCCCGTAATGGTGAAGCCCATCCACTTGCCTTTCTTCCCGGCGACGACGAACCCGATCGCCAGAAACGCGCCGCACGTGCTCAACCCCGCGGCCCACATCATCTTGTTCACCACCGACACCACCTTCTTCTGGGCCCGCGTGTCCCACGCCACGAGCGTTATCTGGACGACGACGACCGACAGGGATATGAACAGCGAGGTGGCGTTGAGGAGGCAGAAGATGCGGAACGCGGCGGTTTCCGCCACCCGCGCCTCCCCGGAGTCCGTGTACTGCCCCGGCAAGTTGAAGATGGCCAAGAAGGCAATGGAGGCGAACAAGACCGCCACAAGGGTCACGGAGTTGACCGTGTTCTGGACCGCCTCCCGGTGTATCTTCTTCAGCTCTTTCGCAATCCCCGAAACCCGCCTCCGGGTTTTCTCGTTCTGTATGACTTGGGACTGCACTTCGTGCTTTATGTCGCTTACCGTCCTCTTCAGCTCCATGGCTTCATCCACCTGGCCGATGAACCTGGCGTTCTTTGCCCCGGCGTCCATTAGAGAGTCCTTGATCGACAGGGATGAGTCTCCGTACTGGAGCTTGTCTGCCAAATCCATCGCCGTCTCGTTTTGATTGTTGAATGCGTTGACATTAATGGATGTGTAAGTCAACAGGACGTTCACAATCTGAGATTATTAAAATCAGATGAAAAACAAGAAGAGAGTTATTGAGGTAGTAGTGACATGACTCAGATATGCAGCATTAAAAACAACATTAAACTTTTTCACAGCTTAGAACACAATGTTGAAAGTCTGCATTTCTGATACAGAAATAAAAATGAAAAACACGTCCCGAGAACAAAACGAGTTCGAACTGGCCTCATTCTGTTCTTAAATAATTATTCAATACATTAAGAATATAGAATGAATGTGGACATACAGTACGTCCACATTCATTCAATTTTTGATCTATCGGGAAGTTCATAACAGAGCATTACCTGTGGCCGGGCTTTTCTGGTGGCAATGTGCAAAGCAGTATTGCCCTTCTTGTCGCGTTCGTTCAGTATGGAGTGATTGGCATCCAGTAACTCCTCTATCACCGAACTGTCGTGGCCCTTGACCGCCATGTGGAGGGCGGTCTGCCCTTTCTTGTCCTTGACGGAGACGATCTCCGGGTCCCTCTCGATCAGCGTCTTCACGACGGGCATCAGGCCGTACCTCGCCGCGTTGTGCAGTGCGGTTTTCCCGTTCTTCCTCACGGTCTTCGCCGAGCTCACGTCGGCGTCCAGAATGGCACTCACCACTTCCACATGGCCTTGCGCCGCGGCTAAGTAGAGAGGACTCGTGTTTGAGGAGTTGCATATTTTGCAGAGCTCCGGCCACTTGGATATAAGCTCCCTGATTATCCCTATATGATATGATATGTATATGCTGCAGAGTTAGGTTTATGTGTTTGAATGGGATGGGAATATGTTTGAGCTCAACATTTCTGATTTCTCTACCATATGCCATTAAAGAACCCTTTTATCTCCATCCATATTCTCAAGTCTAATGTGACCTTGTTTGGGAACAAGGTTTTCGATTAGCCTTAGCATTTTGGATAAAATTTTAACGGTGTAGATTAATTCTATGCTGAGAATACTGATTAATGAAAAATTTAAGATTCTGGATTTCCCAATCTTCTTATCACTCAAAAGCCTTCAAATCAAATGAACACAGAATCAATAAGATATTCGTACAATAATATACAAAAATCCACGAGAAAAGAAATGGATAGAAAGCGTAGCTAACACGAAAAGATGAAGGGTACGAAGTAAAATACCCAGGTGGCCGCGCGCGGCGGCGACGGAGAAGGCGTCGAAGTCGCCCCTGCACCTGATCTTCGCAGTCTGCAAGTCGCAGAGCCCGACGAGGAACCTGATCGCCTCCACGCAGTTGTTCTCCGCCGCGACGTACAGTGCCGTCTTCCCCGCGTCGTTCTGCAGCGCCAGGAGCGGATTCGGGTCGGGTTCGGACCCGCCGGAGCCATTATTGCTCGGCGGCGGGGCCGCGAGGAGTTCCCGGAGCGCTTGGACGTCCCCCGATTGCGCCGCCGCGAACAAGGACTGGTGGTTGATGAATCTCAGTGACTTGGAGTCCATTTCCAGCCGCTTACTTGGGGATTTCTACCAGAAGATTCAATATCATCAACTTCCTGGAAATTTCCTATTTTTTGATTTTTTTTTCCCTTTGATTGAGTTGAATTATTGACAATTATATGAAATTGACTATAAATATTAGTATTGTTTTTTTCTTTTTCTCTTATTGGATTTTCTTGAAACTTGAGAGGCTGTAGTTAGATTCAATAGAAGAAGGTGAATGAAGAAGTCAAGAAGATAAGAATAAGATATGTGCATTATTATTTTACAATTTTACTCATTATGACATTATCCTTATTTTTTTATTTATCAATTATATCATATTTGTAGCAAAAATTTTAGGGTAATTTACCTAAATAGGACTAAAACATAATAACTTTCTCAAAATAGGACCATATGTTTTTTTTCCAAAGTAAGATCATTGGTCATTATGTATTAGTCATTATTCAACTAAATGTCCAGCATCACTTGAACATTATTTTTCTCACTAGTCATTATTAAGTCCTCTTTAAGAAATAAAAAAGTTTAAGTCCGACATTGGGAAATGACTTATGTGTTAGTCTTATTCAGTGCAAATTTCACAAAATTTTAACATACTTCGGAGTATAAAATAAACTTTTACTCGTATTAGTTTTCCGCAATATAAATTTGATGAAATCATTTTTGTATGAATATTAAATAAAATTTAATTTAATTGATTTTAAAATGTGTACAATTTAACTGAAATAAGAAGTCCAATTTTATTTTTAAAGTTAAATTCGAGAAATATTTTAGCACAGAGCCGTGGAGATAGTACTCTGTCTAACCAAAAAAGATTCGTGATTTGATTTGACACAAAATTTAAAAAAGACAGCGAGTATTGTGTGCATTGTGTGGTTGGCAAAAATAAGAAGTGTCAAGGGGTAAGATTCAAGTTTGATTTCTGATAACTACACTAGGAAGCAATTATCTACAAGTACCAGGTACATGCTTTATTTTCTACCACCAATCGACAATCAAAATTTAATTTATTTTTTATGAAAAACTGTAAGGCCGGATCTGAAGGGACCCTCTCCGAGATGACACTCATTTTTTTTTCCAATTTTCATTTTAGGAAAAGGACTTCCTATTTATAGAATTAAGCTAGGGGTACACCAACATGGGGTACCCCAAGTGTACACCAAAGCCAACACAGACATTTTGTATCTGTGTTGGCTTGATGTACACTTGGGGTACCCACACCCCATGTTGGTGTACCCCTAGCATTGCCCCTATTTATATAGTCCATTCATTTAAGGCCGTATGTAAATGTGATTGTAGGCCATTGTAGGGTAATGATTGAAGATTCGAAGGATCCTTGGGAGGGCCCAGCGTGTGTGATTAGGGGAACACACCCCACCTCTTGTGAATTAAGGGTGAGTTTAGTCTCTCATTTCACACGTAATCTACGATTAAGGAATGAGTTTTGTTTTAATCAATTAAAGAATGAGTTTAATTTCTCATCTCACACACTTTTACATACCCGCTTGTATTTCAGGGGAATAATGATACTATACCTCACTTATGCTAGCACTAATGATTACATTTATAAAGTTTTTTGAAAAACAATCGTGCTACATACACCCCAACTCATACCCCAATAAAAGACCCCATCCCCACACCAATACCCCCCACCCCATGTGCATCTACAACTCTCTCTCTCTCCCTCCCCTGTAGTTTACACCAAAATTTTTACAGATCGTGGGCTTCTTCGTCGGACTGACAACCTATTCCTCATCGCCGGCTCACACCTCGAAGAATTCCGATAACGCCATCCTCCTTTTTGAACCTTCCTCCTCAATTCGATTTCCTTGTCGCCACACTCCCCTCTACCCTCGCCGCTGCCGTCCTGCCATCGACGCTCCGCCATCTAGGTGAATGCTAATCCGTTTCCCATCAATTTTATTATTTCAGCCACGTTCACAACAAAATGTCAGGTTTCTATTGTTTACCTTCTACAAACTTACATTTTCAGCCCATTTGAAAGTGTGAATGTTTTTTTCATTTTATTTTATTTTCTCAAAGTCCTAATTGCTAAGGATGTCCTAATTTTTCTAGGTGATTGCTCTATTTGTGTCAATTTCGCATAATGTTGGGGCAATGTTATTTTTCTTCTACACACTAACGCTTAGTGTCCATGTGAACATGTTTTGTAAATTTTGTTTTTTACCCACTTATACTTAATTTTATTTGTACATTGATAAGATTAGATGACTACCCGAACTGCCAAGGATTCCTTAATTGTGGTGAGCTTCTTTAGAGATGAATGTGAAGCACATGAAATGTGTGACTTTGGTGGTGATGGAGTAATATTAAGCCCATATGAAATGTGTGACTTTGGTGGTGATGGAGTAATATTAAACCCACATCCCAGTAAGTTCTTTAGTGTATAAGAGTCATGTATTAATACTTTGTATTTTCTAAGTAGGATATTCAATTTATGTAGTAGTAAGAGTGGTGTTTAATGTTTGCTTCCATATTTCCAGGGATAACGAAGGCACATGATGCAACTACTTTCATTACCCTGTTAGAGGACGAGGGAGACTTGCATCTGCAGCGGGCTTTGGGGACTAGTGCAAACACCATAAATTGTAAGTTGTACATATAGAGTTGTTTATGAAACACTGAATGGACATTGACATTTATGTACGTGCAACTCTGTCAAGGGTTGCCTACATAGACAGTTTATGTAGGTGCAAAACAGAAGAGTTAACATGTAGTGCTCGGTGTGCAGGTTTGGAAAGTAATGTTGACCTCAAGGTGAACAAGACCAAGCGGGGAAACCCTGAAAAGCCATCGACGACCCTTCGTCCAAACATTGGTGACATAGGAAGTGAAAATTTGCCTACGTGGGAATGGCCGGGAGAAGATGGTGTGTATGACCTAACTTGCCCAAGTCTTGATCTCAGGCTATGATTCAGTATACGGGCCATCATTTTTTGTAATTTTTTTGTTATGCATTTGCTCCCACGTTTTTTGGTAAGTAATACCTGTGTAATTTTTTGTCTTTACCACGTACACATGATGTAAATATACTTATTTTGTGGGCAAGTTGAACACTAAATATGTGAATATTATTTCCTTATGTGACACTTGAACAGGTTGATGTAATTATTTTTTGTAAAATGCACGAAGACTTAAAGTCAGGGTGTTATTATTGGTTGTGTTCAATATCTGGCCTACTTATTCTCTTCAATACACCAACACTTCATATATGTAGGGGTGTAAACGGATATTAATCGGATCGGATGTGCCATTACCAAATCCGCATCCGTTTATTTTTGTCGGATATCGAATTCGGATACGGATCTTGACGGATACTGAAAATCAAAACCGTATCCGCATCCGTCGGATATCGGTCGGATATCGGATATATCCGTATCCGTTTCCAATTTTTAAAATCAACTTAAAAAATACTTTATTTTTAAAATTAGATTAAAGTCAAGCTATTATTAAATCAACTATAATTTGTTATGAGATGATTATTTTCTTTGTTTNATGGATGCGGATATTTCCTCTTTAAACGGATACGGATGCGGACGGTAATCGGATTTTCGGCTATCCGTTTACAGCCCTACATATATGTGTGTTACTGTTTATGTTCTACACACCAACACTTAATGTATGTGTGCTAATTTTTCTATTAAATACACCCAGATGTAAACATAGGAAGTGTTACTGGTTGGGTAGAATAAACCAACCCTTAATATGCGCTCTGTACTGAATCAGTTAAATACACAGACACTTCATATATGTGTGTTACTGTTTCCCTTCAACACACCGACACTTAATGTCTGTGTCCTCTTGTTTCTGTTAAAAACACCATAACTTAATGTTAGGATGTAAGTGGTTGTGTACAATTAACAAATTGTATTATACTTATTTTGTTGTATACACCAACACTTCACATATGTGTGTTAAGGGTTTTGTTCAATACACCATCACCAAGGTTCCCATGACATTGAAACCCAATGTCATGGGAACCCCACCCATACACCATTACTTATTGTCCGTGTGTTATTGTTTATCTTCAACACACCAACACTTAATGTGCATGTGGTACTGATTACGTAACGGTTGAACACTTATACTTAATAGTTTTTTGTTAAATACACCAGCACTTAATGTCAGGATGTTACTGGTTTTGTTCAATAAACCAACACTTTTTGTCTGTACAATTGATTTTGTTGAATACACCAACACTTTGTATATGTGTGTTAATGTTTGTGTTCAATACACCAACACTTATTGTTTCTGTTAAAAACACCAAAACTTAATTTTAGGGTGCTAATGGTTGTGTTCAATAAACCAACACTTAATATGTGTTTTGTACTGATTTTGTTAGATATACCAACAGTTTTTATCTGTATATTACTGATTCTACTCAATACACCGACACATAATGTCTGTGTGTTGTTCAATCTGCTCAATACACCAAAACATAGTGACTGTGATACTGGTAATGTTCAAACCTTTGACACATAATAAAATTACACTAAAGCTTTACAGGGTAGTAAGTAATTGAAATGAAATGTGGTATGACCAAATTTTGGGGGAGAATCTGAAGCACTATTCTATACAAACATCAAGAAATGAAGCGACAATAGGTACTCTGCGAATGCAAGGATCATAACACCAGAGGCGTTTCCACACAAGCATTGTGTTCAAACATCGACATAAAATTATTATCCCACAAACACTCCATTCTAAGATTTAGATTGGTGCATGTGAAGTAGTACACATCGTTTTCCTTGGGCCTTTCCCATGGTTGCACGTTTTGCCTTACAGTAACACCTACGTCGGTGTGGATGCTTATCCTTCTCGTAACACAGTTTCCCCAATTGTTCTTGAGTGCCTTTAGTTGTCGAGTTCTTTTTTCCAAAGCTCGTCTATATGCATATGCAAAACAAATAAAAGTGTCATTCCCTAATATGTCAATGTATGCAATGACAATAATGTTGCACAAGCATAACCTAGAAGTGTGAAATCAAATAGGCATCACATAGACACCAATTGTAGGTGCATAGAAGACATTCAAATACACCGAGACAAATTGTGCGAGTGACAAACATGTCCAACAAAAATTAAATGTAGAAAATAACTATAAATATAAGTTCCTAAAATGGGACAAAAGGTTTTTAATACACATGAAAAATGACTAATGGTAACTTCAAACTAGCATTATGCGTTGGTGCAAACCTCTGCCCTCATATACGCACAAGCATAATCTGCTGGTGCAAAACAAGTTCAAAACAGCAGAAATTGGTAGCAAAGTCTACACCTGCGACTCTGAATCAATTAATGGCAGACACATTTCAATTAAAGGAAAATTAAAATTGAAATTAAAACTGAAATTCCAATCAAACACGATAATTTGAGCATTAAAGTTAACGAGAATTTAAAATGGAACAGAATCACATGAGCACTAAATGTAGGTGCACAAAATATAAACATATATAACCAGACATTCGGTGTCAATGAAAAATATGTCCACACTTCTATAAATGCGAAAATATACTTCTTGTATTATACACACTTGACTTTTGAAAATCAATATTTACAAATAAATTCATACAAAATTATTGTCTAAATTTTGAAATACATAACTTGCCATTTGAGGTGACAATATTGCATCTCTTCTTTAAAAAAAATCTTTCAATCTTAACTTGAAATTAAAACTAAATTGAAATTCCAATTAAACATAGTCATTGAAACGTGATTTAAACTTCATATTTACCGAGAACTCTTGAGAAAAGGAGACGTCAACGAGAGAAGCCGCCGGACTTGCCGATTGGTCCAGTGTTCTCTTCTGCCTCAAGTATTGAAATTCCTCTCTCCATGGCCCAAAATTATAGATCTTCATCGGCTGGGTTATATATGTGTCGTCGGACCGTCGGAGAAAGAGGTTGGAAATTGTAGCCGCATCAGTTGTGGTCGGAGATTGAAGTGGAGAGGAAAAGCTAGAAGTGGAAAAGAGAGGGAGAGAGTGAGAGTAACGGGGGGATTGGGTGGGTAATGGGGGAGTGAGAATAGGGTGAGGGTGAGTGGGTAATGGGGGTATTTTATTTGGGGTACAAAATGGGATATGAAATGGGGTGTAAGTAGCATTTTCCTTTGAAAAATTCTTGGATGACACCCACTCAACTCTTGACACTATTTTGACATCATAATTTTTTTTAAGAGGATATCATAATATTACATGGACAAAAAGTGTTTATACTCACACAAACAATTAATATTTGTATGTATCTGTGCAACACTACGAAATAATATTTTCTAAATCTAATTATAGATATTAGAATCTTAACCCAGGTCATTCTACTATAAATAAGGTGTCACTTCCAAGATAAAGGGAGAGCCAAATGAGTTCTACATATTCTCTACACTATTCATTGTCATCTTTATAGAGCTTCACACTCAATCAATGGCTATCATTCCCAAATCATGTATGAATACTCCTCGAGATATAATGAAATAATCCTTTGGCATGGTTCCGTCTAAAAATGTCCGTTATTTTCTCTCGATTTGGATTTTCACGTAAATATCAAATTTTTATCTTGTTATATACATTTATTATATTATTATCTGATATTATATTATACTCCGTATATTTTATTTATCATCGTGGAAAAGAATATATTTTATATGTCTCGATGGGTTGAAATCATCACTATTGGGAAACTTAAACATTTTGAATTTGGATTTGAATCAAATTCTTTACATTTTAAATTATACTCTGTATTTAGTAAATATTACGGAGTACTTAATTTTAAAGATTACAATATGTTGTTAGGTATAGATTACTCATACTTATTTTTAGAAAGCCAAATCAAAATATAAAATCCAAAATTACAAAAAAAAGAAGGCGAAATAATAAAAGTAGCAAAATCTGCAAATTGGTCGATTCGGACTTGGGTTTGCTCTTTCAGGTTATTTAATTATACCAGTTCACCGATTAAATTACAAATCTGGTTTGTATAAAATTTTAAAAAATAAAATTTATACATTTTAAAACAACCAAAAATATTTATTAAAAAAAAGATGATATGACTATTATTTAATCATATGACTCATAACTAAGTAAAAACTACATTGACTATATATAAATAATTCATTAAGGAAAGATTTTTTATTTCACTCTGGTTTTCAAGTAAATTAAATTAAAAATAATATCATTTAATGGAGAAGTGAGGGAATATTTCTTAATCTCACTAACAATGAGACAAAAAGTTCATTTTGTTAATTTTCCAATGAGACGAAGAACTTATTCTTTTTATTTATTTTTATTGGAATCAGATCAGAATAAATTAGATAAAAAAATATTTTTAAATACTCCCTCCGTCCATTTTTAATGTTCCCGGTTTGACCGGGCACGCATATTAAAAAAAGATGTAAATGTCATTGACTTTCCAATTTTACCCCCACCTCATTCCTCTTGTTGTTGAAACTGGGCTGGGATGTGTGCCAAACTATTACAGTCCCAAATTGACCCAACATAAACTTTAAAACCGGGCCTCTAGACTCTAATCCAGGCCTCTCATTGTCATCCCTAATAAGAATGGGCTTTTATAAATTGTGCACGTCCGTCTTATTTGTCTAGTAGTTACTTCGTTTACTATTTTTCAGATATTATTTTTAGTATCAAATTTAACTCACTTAATTTGATTATTTTTTATTATTTTATAATATATTAGTATATTCATATCTTTTTTTATAATTTTTTAATATAATTTTTTTATTATATAAATTTTACTTTTAAATTATATCTTTGCAATGAAATTAATTAAATTGAAAAAATAAATTTAGTTAAACCACGTAATGCACAAGGAAAAGATCTATATGAGGGAGGAAGTATAATAATAAAAAAGTAAAAATATTTGTACTTTATGGGAGGTGATTGATAAAGTCGCGTTGAGATGGAAGCAAATGAGTCGCTAACATTTACTCTTTCCATCCCGAAATTGATGACATTTTTTATCTCACCTCTTGATAATTTTATTTCTTTGTGTATTTTTATTTATTATTTGACAAAATAAAATATCCGCGTCACGAATTATTTTCTAAAAGTTTTGACATCC